TTTAGCTTTAATAATACGTTCAGGTTGACACAGTCCACAAGATATACTCCTTCGTTTCGGGTAAAAACGGGCAGAGTTTTTGGTGCATCATATGATAAATATCATCAGAGCTAAAGCTCATCTTTTACAAAGTCTCACGTTAACGTTAGGTCTACCTAGCAATCTCTTCTTCATGCACTTTCATACGAAATTAATGTCTCCCTAAAAATGTTATCTCAGAGATTGATTGAAATCCAGTTACTCTTAATATCTCATATTTTGTTCCAACTGTAGATGTACTTTAAAACTGCAGAATTCAGTCATATTAGCAAGGTGACATTGGTAAATCAACATAATGTGTATAAAATAGAATATTGTTTACAATAATAAATTCATCAAATATGCCTTGGAAGCAACTTCATCGAAGCGCTTATGGCTAGTGTCTTTTGTAAAAGAGCTGCTTGACGCAAACTAGCCGAAATATCAACCACAAGAGTATACTCTGTTGCTACTCTTAGAAAAAATATGAAAAATACCGCCACATCTGCATACGAAGCGTTAAAGATACTTTTTTGGCCAAATTTGCTAGACAACGCTGAAGGCCAAAAGTGCAATAAGCTAAAAAAGATTAACGATAGAGAAGCAATAACGTACCAACTTTATAGTAGACTTTTATATTTCGCATTTAAGTATTGTTTCTAAACTACCAGTAAATCAGTAATATGAGATGTATCAACCCAATTTCGTTTAAGGTGATGAAGGAATGGTAGAAGAATTTTCACACATTGATACGACTAGAGCTGACGTTTCCAATGAATTTCACATAGCCTTGCTTTTCCAAAAGTTGTTCTCATCCAGGCACCAGTCGACTGCAGTTTCGACCTTGCATGTGTCTTATCAACACCCCCAGCGGGAGTCGAACCGTGAGAGTGCAGAATGGGAGCTTGACACATTAAAAACTCGACAACATTGCCACGAGTGCATTTGGATCACAGGGCAGATGTGAATTTCAAGTAAGGCCAGGCCTTTTTCCCTATCATA